GAACCACAAGAGAGCGACCCAGCACCCCCAGCACGCCCACCACAAAGCCCTCCGCCTCGGTCAGGGAGGTGTCGGCGCAGGCCAGCGTCAGCAGCGGGGGGATGTCGCAGAAGAAGTGCTGGATCTCGTTGGGCCCACAGAAGGGCAGGCTGAAGATCAGCGTGGTCTGCCCGAAGGAGACGGGCACGCCGGCCAGGTAGGACCCAGCCACCAGCAGCAGGCAGACCCTGTCGCCCATCACGGCGCTGTAGTGCAGCGGGTGGGAGATGGCCATGTAGCGGTCATAGGCCATGGCAGCCAGCAGGTAGCACTCCGCCGTGGCGAAGAACAGGTAGAAATACAGCTGGGTGGCACAGCCGGTGAAGGAGATGCTCCTGTTGTCCAGCAGGCCAGCCAGCAGCTTGGGCAGGGTGACGGAGGTGTAGCAGACCTCCAGGAAGGACAGGCTCCGGAGGAAGAAGTACATGGGGGTGTGGAGGGACCGGTCCAGTGTGGTGAGCACCATGATGAGGGTGTTCCCCACCAGAGTGATGATGTAGGAGACCAGCACCAGGACAAAGAGCAGCAGCTGCAGCTCGGAGAGGTTGGAGAACCCCAGGAGGATGAAGTGTGTCACCACGGTGCGGTTCCCGCCGGGCATCTCCGCTGGCAGATGGGCTGGAGGTATCTAGACAAGAGAGAGGAGCCATCAGTGTATAGCATCCTAGAGCCTGTAGACCTGGCAGGGACCGTGAGAGGCCGTCAGGTCCAGTCTCCTGCCCTCACGGCAGAACCAAGCACCGTCCAGACCATCCCTGACAGGTTTTTCCTAATGTCCAACCTAAACCCCCCTGGCTGCAGTTTAAGCCCATTGCTTCTTGTCCTGTCCTCAGAGGCCAAGAACAATTTTTCTCCCTCCTCCTTGTGACACCCTTTTAGGTACCTGAAAACCGCTTCATGTCCCCTCTCAGACTTCTCCTTTCCAAACTCAATAAGCCCAATTTCTTCAGTCCTTCAGTACGAGCCACCAAGCCCTGCCTTGCTCCTTCAGAGCTTCTAAGGTGCTAAAGGTCCATTCTGCTCACCTGTTCTGATTCCCTGCCTGTCACAGGCCAGAGACCTGCCCCAAAATTCTTCCTGCCAAAGTGCTGAGGAGTTCTCTGGCACCTTATAGATTAACAAATTTATCGGAGCATAAGCTTTCTTGGGCAAAGACCCACTTCGTCAGATGCAGGGAGTACAAATTCCAGAGGCAGATATAAATATATTGGCATAAGAAAAGAGTACCAATCAAGTACCAGAAATTATTCCTGTTCAAATAGCTGCAGAGCAGTTACAAAAACCTCCCCTCTTGATTTCAAAGACGGCCAGCAATGGAAAATCCACCGGGGCTGTCCCATCCGTGCCTCATTTCCAGCCTGAGCCTGTTTCACTCCAACTTCCAAGTGCCTCGCTAGGTAGAAAGCAATCGATCTCCATCAGCTTTTGTCTCGCACCAGTTTCCTGTCCACTGCAATGTCTATTGGAGAGCACTGTTCCCCGCCCAAGCTGTCCAGGCTGGGGGTGGATTGGACAGGAGTGGATCCCCGTGGAAACCACTGTTGGGTGGTAACAACAACTTTTCACGGACCCCTTAGACATAATCTGTGCATCCCTCCCCCCCCCCCACAGGGGTCTCTTTGGAAGAGACGGGTTGGCCAGAGTTTCATACCTAATTTTGATGGAGAACGTCAGTGCTGCTTTTCAACCTTTTTCATGTTTATCTCTTTAAATGTTCGCCATTGTGGGAGATCATGGGGGGTGCTTGTCAGACACTAACAGAACAGGGAACCATCCAGTGACCCCTCCCCTGTTGCCCATTCCCAGCCCCTGACACGCAGAGGCCGGAACCCCATCCCTACTCACCCTGGCTAATTGATGGACCTACCCTCCATGAATCGATCTAGCTCTTTTTGGAACTCTCTTGAAATCCTGGTCTTTATAAACTCCTCTGGCAAGGAGTTCCACAGGTTGCCTGTGTGCTGTGTGTAGAAAAACTTCCTTTTCTTTGTTCTAAACTTGCTACCTATTCATTCCCTTTGGTGACCCCTAGTTCTTATGTCATAGGAACAAGTAAATAACTTTTCCTTCTTCACTTTCTCCACACCTGACATGAGTGCCCCACAACCAGGTGACCCATGGGAAAGTCAATGTGTCCCAACTGGAGTGGAGTTTCACACGGTGTGTGCTAAAATCAGCCCTTCCGTTCAGTGTGGAAAATGCCAGTTTCTCTGTCTGTCGTCACTCACGCCCCCACCCGCCCTCTCTCTCCGGGCACCTCCGGGAACAAAGGGGCTTCTTGGAAACATGGCAGCCGCAGAGCTTTGAAACCTGGCGCTCGGGGCCGAATTGAAGCTGTAGGATGCACCAGTCGAGGTCTCCTTCAGGGCACCTGCGTTTGCTGGCCCATGAGTGCACCTGCTCCAGAGCCATCCCTTCAATGGGGCAGAGACCCACCTCTCTCTCCTGCGGAGCTGGGCTGTTCTTCCCCTGCCTCCGCTGCGATCTCACCAGCCACGCAGCCTGCCCCAGCCTGCCAGCCTCTGGGCGTTGCTGTCTCTTGGAGGCAGCACTCGTGCAGAGGAAATGCCCCGAAAATGATGCACGTCCCTCTCTGCACCCAACAGCTTGTGGTTTTAGGGGCAGCTCGAGTCCTCCCCATTCCCCCAGAGGGTGCGAGGTTCCCCCGCCCATGGAGGTGCTGTCTGGTTGTTGGTGAGTCTAAACTCAGGCCTCTGTTCGTTCCCCTCCAACACGTCTGAGAAGTGGGCTGTGCCCACGGACGCCCCTGGCCCTGTCTATATAGTTGGGTGAGTCTCTAAGGTGCCCCAGGACCACTCGTGGTCTGTAAAGTTACAGACAGACACGGCTCCCCGCTCTGGGACTCCTTCTGCAAAGGTTTGTCTTTGTTGGGCACTTTCTGGAGAAACGTTGGCTAATCAGCGCCCGTCGCTCTGCTGCTGCGGTTTCCCTCCCGCCTGCAATTACAGACAGTCCCCGACATGCCAGGGAGCATGACCTGGACACAGGGCGGTCGCCTAAGGGGAGTGCAGGAACCTGCCCCATGGCGCACAGCGGGCGAGTCTCCCGATGGCAGCGAGCAGACGCTGGGCTAGAGGGACGCATGAAAATGGCCCAGCCAGACCCGTGATCCAGCCCACGGGATACACCCGGAGTAACTGCAGAGGGCGAGATCGCGAGAGACGTGTCCGGCTCGTCCCCTGGCTCAGCGGCGACGGGCGCTCTGCTGCAACCGGGGAGACCCGACATCGAATCCAAATTCCATTTCCGGCACGGGAGGAAACAGACCCTGGCCTCTCTCACGCCAGCTGAGCATGTAACCAGCTCTGGGGAGATCTCAGCCCCCCCAAATCCCTGCGCTTAGCCCCGGACAAATGCCCCAACGTTCTGTGTGCATTGAGCAAACCAGCTTTGATTCAAACCCCCAATGGATCCCCCCCCAATTCTCTGATGTTTCGTTGTTGTGAATTGTGGATTCAGCTGGACCCAGGCTGAAATGTGGGGAGGAGATTCCGGAGAGGCCGGTGAACCCAAACGCCAGTCACGCCCCCACCCCAGCTCCATCTCCCTCGTGCCCTTCAACGCCAGATCCTGGCCGGGCGTCCTTCCCCGTCACCGGCGAGATGTGAGGCCCTAGGTGAAAGCGAGGTGCTCAAATCGCTGGGCTTTCCCTGTTGCTGCAGCTCCCGCCCCTCCCGAGTTCCAGCAAAGCAAGCAGGGCCTTACAGCTGCGGCACATCCCCTCTCTGCACAGACAGCCGCCCGGCTGCGTGTGGAGGAGGCAGGGACTTGATATTTCCCTGCTGTGTCACGTGACTCCGACCCCAGGGTGTTAGCTCCGGCGGGATGCGGGACTCAGCCGCTGAGTGTCCCTTGGAAATCTCCCCCCTGGGCCTGCGGGCAGTAAACACAGCGCCGCTGGGCGAAGGACGGAAACCCGGGGAAGGGCTGTTTGGTGTCTCCTGGTTGCCCGTTTCCGTCCCGGGCTGCCCAGTGGGGTGTGTTGTGTTACGCAGTGACAACGGGGTCGTGCATCCGCTCTGCTCTGCACAAGCGGACCGGAGCATCGGCTGGCGCCAAACCAGTCTAAAATCTGATTTCTCTCTTTT